GACAACACCTGAGCAGCCCCATGGGTGCTGGAACAGCGAGGAGCTGAATTTTCTTAAGTTTAATCAGAATTAATAACCTGCACTCAGACAGGTGCTTTGAGATCCTCCTCCTCTTGTCCTTATCTGTCCTGCAAAATATTGCATTTGTGGAGAGGAGCTGCGGGTGGGAAACAAAGGCCCTGCCACGGAATCCCTTTTTCAGCAGCACATCTTTCATCCCTGTCCACAAGAAGGAAATGAAGAGAGTTTTTCAGGCTCCAAAAAGCTGCTGTGGGGACGGAGTGTGTTCTCTGCCAGCCCGGTGTGCACGGACACGTCTCGGGGACTCTGCTCTGAGCTGGCTTTGCTCTCCAGAGAGCTCAGCCAGTGCTGCTGTGAACACCAGCAGAGCAAATCTCCTTCTGTCTGAATGGGCACAGAGAGAATTTCCCCACTCAGGTCCTGTGGGGATTGCCCAGGCCAATACACAGGATAAAAGCAGCCCTGAGAAACGGCAATTGATTTAAAAATATCAAATATGTGTCAACTCCACGCCCACAACAATCCAAAAGTCCGCCCTAACTTTAGGCTAAGACAGAGAAAAGGCCAAAATGTGCCCAATGCTCCCCAGGAAATCAGTGGCATGGGTAGGTCAGACCCATTTTCCAGCCCTCCCTCTCAGATTACGACTTTCTGGTGATTGCTTTTGGGAAAAAAAAAATATTTTGAGCCCACTATTGACATTATTGATTGATGGGAGTAACAGCATTCTCCTGGCCCATCCTGGGGAATATGCAAGGAGAGGAGAATTCATTTCCTTCCCAGAGATATCAATACCCATCTTGGCTTCTGAAGAAATCTCACACCAAGACTATTGATTTCCTGCACTTGGAATGAACTGCTTCAGTCAGCTCCAGAGCTGGGTGAAGAGATTGGGCTGGGGCTCAAACTCACTGGGAATGCACTGGGAATGCACTGGGAATGCACTGGGACTGCACTGGGAATGCAGCAGGTCTGGGGCACCAAAACCTCCTCGGGGGACCCAAGGATGGGCTGAAACATGATGTATGCCACAGCTGCCTGTGCCACAGGGGCTCCAGCTGGGCAGGACACTCCAGGCACCTCCTTCTGCAACTCAGGCACCCAAAAAATGGCAATTTTCTTATCTGGGGGGCCACATTTCCTTGGACTTTGCAGCACTCCCAGCACAAGCCATCCCTCAGATCAGCAGTGCTCATTCTGTGCTCCCAGCTGATGAGTCAGTGGCTTCATTAAAAGCACAGCTCATTTGAGGAGACACTTCCTGACGGGCTCAAACCTCGTCTGTGTCCAGAGCCTGCATCTCCCAGGGCTGCATTTAACATCATGCAATTAACAGCCAGCCCCTGCCAGGCCCTGGGTGCTTCCTCTGGCAGCACCAAGGAGCTGCCACACGGGCAGAGAATCATCCCATGGGGAGAATCATCCCCCAAAAATCAATTCTGACCAATATTCCCTGAGCCTGTTCTGCTGAGCAAGGCAAAGGCTCCCTCCACGCTCCAAGTGTGCACGGGGGGCTGGGAGTGCTGCTTGTTTTGGCAGAAGAGATGAGAAAACCGCAGAGCATTCGAGTTCAGAAGGCTCATTATGACTAATCTGCCTTCCTGAGCTGCAGGTCTTTTATTCCAGAGGCAGATATAGGCCTGCCCTGGGAGGGAACATCTGCAAGGGATGCTAATTTAGATATTTGTAAGAAAGGCGGCACAAGCTGCAGCCAGATGAGTCTGCAGCAGCGCTGGGAGGGAGCACGGGGTGGGAGAGGAGCTCTGCCAGCTCCCAGAGGGGTCTGCACCAGCCCCCAGCCCCAGCCCTGCACCAGCCTGGCTCTGCTGCTGCTGGAGAGGCAGCCTGGGCTCCCACTGGGCAAGTGGGACTTGCATTTCCACCCCTGAGTGGGATTTAGCATTTCAGATGTCACACTTGGGCTGGGCTGTGGGTGCCACAGGGAAAGCTTGAGCAGCCTGGGCTGGCTGTGGCATTTTCTTCACTCTCCTCCTCAGCTGCACAGCTCTGAGCCTGATTTTAGGAGCCTGAAGAACTGGTGCTTTGCAGCATCTCCCATGAGTTAACAAGCACCCTGTTCCTGCAGTGAAACAGGGAGAGTCCTGCACCCTTCTGGGCTTGTTTTTGTAGTTTTGTGGGGTTTTGCACTTTATGTGATACCTGAGCAGCATTTAGGAGTGTGTGTGATGCACTTGGACAAGTTAATCAGTGTTAAAGGGCTTGGGTGGGTCTGGTTTCTACAGGAGGAGGAACTGAGTGCAGACTGAAGTGGTTTGCTCTGAAAATCTGCCTCATTATTGTATTTATTGAATGTTGGTGGCAGAAGGAGACAGGCCTGACACAGAAGGTTGTGATAAACTTGCAGGGAAGTTCATTCTGCAGTTCAGGACTGGCCCTTAAAAACCTCTGCCTTATCCCAGACGTGTCAGAAATGTTTCCTCTTTAGCATTTGTGGCCAACTTCTCCTCTCATTAGAGAAATGAAATCATCACTCAAGACCTCAGTGCTCTCTTCAGAGCTTTCCACACCAGCAGCCTGTGAGAGGGCAGCAAAAGAATGAATTATCTCATTGTCAGGGGCTGATATCCCAGTGGAATTTCCCTTTTTCCGTGCTGTGGTGCAGTGCAGGAGGCACCTGATCTCCTTCCATGCCTGTGCTGCTCTGAGACTTCTGTTACAGGAGCAGAAAAAGAACACATGGCAGGGAAATACAGAAAATTCAGGATATTTACCAATATTTGCCCCAGGAACAGCACTCCACAAACCAGAGAAGCCCCGGAAAGAAAATATTTTGCTCCTTATGAGAAGGTTGCACTCGTGGGTTTGAAGTTTCATTTTGGTTTGGCTTTGGTTGTCTTTTATCCATCAGTTTTTCTTGTTATTGAACTTTATGTTCTCCCGTGATTCATCTGACTCTAGGGCATTTATTGAAATCCTTGATACAAAATGCAAGGGAAATGAATCTCACTTTAAACTTCCTAAGGACATCTCCATCACCTGATTAAAGTCTCCTGCAGTTTTTTCCAGCTCTTCCCTTCCCAGACCCGGAGACAAGGTGCATTTCTGGCAAAGGCAGATGTGATTTGTAGCGCATCTCCCATCAGAGCAGCCATTCTTTTAATCCATCGTTTTCCAGGGGAAAGAATAAATACTTCTTTTCTTTAGTAGGACTGAGAAAGCCCCACACAGAGATGAGTTTTACAAGCAGTTAAACGCTGTAAATCAACAGGCTGAGGCAGATGGCAAAGAGTCAGTGAGACTCAGAGCTCGTCCATTAAACACCTCACCCACTTCTCAGTTATTAAATTGCTCTTCTCCTGACTCAGATTGGAGTTGATTTCCTTATGGATGGCTGGATGGAAAATATTCTTCTGATCCAACTGGAAGCCCAAGGAGTCAAGGAGAGGACAGGCTCTTCTTGGCTTCAAAGAAAGTATAAACATCTCAAAGAAGTCTGGTCCATCCATTAAATAAATATCTTTATTTTGAGGCAAGCAGAGCATTTTGCTGTCCTGCTTTCCAGAAGAAATAATTATTCTATGCTGAGCTCATTTGGCTCCCTTGGCATTGCAAAACTCACATAAATCGGATAAAAAGGAATTTATTGCAGTAACACTTGGAAAGTTCAGGAGTATTCAATCTGACTTTAGCACTGAAGATGACTCAGAAAGTCAAGAGAGTGCACACAGCAATTCAGGAATGCAACATCCCAGGAGATTTAGGGTTCCACCATCCAGAGAGGTTGAAAGCAGCATTTTAGATCCACTTGTTAGGATAAAAGCCCCCCAGAAACTGAATTTCTTTAAAGCCTCATTGCAGAGATGGGTTTTACTCTGTTCTCTCCTTGTCTAGGGCTGTTTGGTAATACAAAAAATACATTCAGAAAAGGTTTTGAGCCATTACTGGAGAAATAAAGAGGAGCTTTCTTAGGAAACACCCGTCAGATGAGGGACTGCTAATGCTCTGAAGTGAGCTGGAGTTAGGGATATTAAACTATAAGAAGATATAAAAATATTGCAACTGCAAGCACACCTTCAGGAAATGGTTTCTCTTGGTATTTGAATTGCAAAGAGATCTCTCCAGCAGCACAGGGAGTGTTTAAACAAGGAGCACAGCTGAGAATTCCAGCCGGGGTTTTTAGCAGCTGCCCAGGACGTGCTGGGACTGGGAAGGATGTGGTGCCCTGTCCCCTTCCAGCGGAGCTTTGCTGGGGGGGCACTCCGAGCTTCCCCTGCCGTGCCAGCAGCTGGGCACAAGTGGGGAGAGTGCTGAGCTTGGGGTTCAGGGGGTGCCAGTGTTAAACTTGGGGCTCAGAGGGTGCCAGTGCTGACCTTGGGGCTCAGGGGGTGCCAGCACTAACCTTGGAGCATCCCCGGCTGAACATCCCTGAGGAGCATCCCTGGCCCCACATTCCTGACCAAATATCCCCAATCGAGCATCCCCAGCTGAGCATCCCTGGCAGAGCAGCCCTGAGCAAGCATCCCTGACCAAACATTCATTACTGAGCATCCTCAGCCGAGTATGCCTGGCAGAACATCCCTGACTGAGATCCCTGACTGAATATCCCTGAGAGATCCCTGACTGAGATCCCTGACTGAACATCCCTGACTGAGATCCCTGACTGAGATCCCTGACTGAACATCCCTGACTGAGATCCCTGACTGAACATCCCTGACTGAGATCCCTGACTGAACATCCCTGACTGAGATCCCTGACTGAATATCCCTGACCGAACACCCCTTACCGAACATCCCTGACCGAACATCCCTGGCAGAGCATCCCTGACCGAGCATCCCTGACCGAGCATCCCCGGCGCTCACCTGGGAGCGTCTGCGCGGGGCAGGGCAGCCCGCAGGGAAGGACCGCTCCCCCCGAGGGGTTCCTGGGGGTGGGACCCCATCTCGCCCCTCTCTCTGGGGCTGCGCTGGGGGCGGCTGAGCCCCGCCAGCCCCCCCGGCCCCGGCCCCGCGCTCCGCCCGGCGCTGTCCCGGTGCCGGGGCCGGTCCCGCATCCCCGGGGCTGGAGCCGCCCATCCCCGGCGGGGTGAGTCCGTGGGATTCGGGGGTGGAAACTTCGCCCCCTCCCCTCCCCTTCGCTCCCCTCCCCTCCCTCCCGCAGCAGCGGCAGCGGCAGCGGCGGGCGGGCAGAGCGGGGAGCGCTGCGGGAATTGGCAGCCCGCGGCCGGAGAAGGGAGCTGGAGCGGGAACAGGTTGTGGGATCCGGCCGGGGGAGGAAGGCTGGGCTCTGCCCGGCCGCTAGCCGAGCCTGGGCTCTGGAGATGGAGATGGAGCTGCTGCCCCGCCGGCCGGCCGTGTGCTGAAGGGATGGACAGCGCATCGCTGCGGGGCAGCCCGGCCCCGGCTCGCCGCTCCCCGGGCAGCTGAGCCGCTCCCGAACTTCCAGCGGAGACTTCCACCCGCACCTCCGGCAGCTCATCCCCTGGCTTTTTGCTCCTCTGCTTGTGCGTGAATGCTGAACACCGAGAGGTCTGCCTGAAAGCCTGCGAGAGCTTGGGAAAAGCCACCGTGGAGAGTTGTGGCGTTTTGGATTTATTTGGCACCAAGCACTCACACCTCTGCTCGAGGGATTCGTATGGCTTGAAGGTAAGAGATTTGTGTTGTGCTTTTCTGCCAGAAATAGAAGTGTTGTGAGTATCCCGGTGAGGGAACACAGACAGCAGTGGCTGCTGATATCACCACTGCCTAGAGATGTAAATAAAGACAGGAGAAAAAGGAAAATATTTGTCATTACACCAAAAAGATCCATTAAGCTGTTCCCTTCCGCAAGACAAGAGGCGAGAGCGGGTTTTCAAACTGAAATTCAGGCTGTCTCATTTCTCCATCTAAACCGCTCACTGCAAAACAACAAACAATTGTTATTGTGTGCTAAAGAGACATTTGGAGTTGCTAAGAAGCTCGGCTCCTTTTTAGAAGTTTGATGTTTTACGTTGCTCTCACATAGAGACAATGGAGAGAGAGTGACAGGGAGAAGTGGAGGAGGAGGATGTGTGGAGAGGATATAATGTGGGTACATTCCAGTTCCCCAAGGAGCAAGATTGTTCAATCAAATTATTTGAGGGAAAACACTCTTTTTTCCTCTTACCACACTGATTATTTTACATCTGGTAAGGCAAATCTGGCATCTTTTCAGACTTACTGCTCAGCACCAGCCCTGATGTAGAACAATCTTCCCCAGTGGAGAACAGGGGATCTGTCACCCTTTCCCGAAAAACCCCTGGAAGGAAACCTCTCAGAAATTCCTCTCTAAATGCTGCAAGCAGATTTTGGGTGAGGTTTGCAGTCACCTTTGTCTCGACCTTATTTCTTTTTTTCCATCCCCCCCAGTTCTAAGTTCCGTCCAGCTCTTTGAGGCCGGTGTAAAGTGTGGCTTTGGGGCAGGGAACCAAACACCAGGACGGTGCTGGGTCCTGCCCAGCACTGGAGTATTTTTGGTCCAAGCTGTTGTCTGTAGGTTGTTTCTACACCAGATCACACATCCCCACTCGGTAATTCTCAAGTCTCTCTCCCATCCCGACTTTCCCACATGCAGAGTTCCCAGCATGTGTGTGGAGCGTGAATCACTGCTTCTCCAGTGGAGCTCCCAGGCGAAAAGAAAAACAGCCTGGGTTGTTTTATAAATAACCAGGGTTATAACAGAGCTGGTCAGACAGGTTACACATGCAAAACTGCGTGGGCTGGCTTTCCTACGTGTTCAGGGTTTCATGGGATTATTGTTCTTTACACCGTGGCATTAAAAACTCAAACCCCTGGTTTTTATCTCTTTTGAAGTAATTGCTTGTAGGAATCTAGAAAAAACTCTTGGCAGTATTTCTGATTCCATCAAATAAAGGCTGCTGTAGTTTTTGCTATCTCCCCACCTTAACTTCTTTTCCATGCTGCAGAAATTCTGTTACGTTCAAGCCTTCCTTCCTTACTTCTGAACAGAGTTTTGTAAAAGAGTTTTCTACTGATTTATGAACCCCTGTGTGAAATCTGCTGTGCTTTCCACATTTCCACCTAACTTCCATGGGCACACACACACTCTGAGTGGAAAAGAGCTTCACTGTCACACTGGAAAAGAGAGTGCACGCTTCAGGCTTCAGAGAGAAGCTTGTGAGCCCACAAAAGCAGGGGAGCAGTCAGTGTGGGAATATTTAACAGATGGGACATTCTGCTCCCGTGTCACTGCCACCCTGCAGAAAGGCTTGGCCAGGGTTTGGATGGGGTCGGTGACCACACAGTGTCCCCTGTGCCCATCCTGACACTGCTCCCACACCCCAAATCACCCTGAGCTGAGGGGGATCACCCCTGAGCCTGCCTGGCCATGGGGATGGACTGGTTTGTCCCCACAGAGGTGTCAGCAGAGGCACAGCGTGACCCCTGTGTGTCCCTGTGCCAGGAGCAGGACACAGAGTGCCCTTCGTGTGCTCAGCCCTGCCCGAGAGCCACACACCTGCCTGGCAGGGCACGCAGCTCTGCCTCCATGGCACGGCATGGAAGGGCCTGGAATTGTCCCCTCTGCCTCTGGAACTGTCCCCTCTGCCTCTGGAACTGTCCCCTCTGCCTCTGGAACTGTCCCCTCTGCCCTGCCCTGGCTGCTCCGGGCTGCAGCAGGGGCTCCCAGCAGGGACAAACTTGGCAGAGCATCCCTGAGCGAGCATCCCCAGGGACAAACCTGCTGGGAAATGCAGCTGGAGCAGCAGGAAAAACCTCATTCTGCAGCTTAGGGCAGCAGGAAAACTTCACTCTGCAGCTTGGAACAGCAGGAAAACCTCACTCTGCAGCTCAGAGCAGCAGGAGAACCTCATTCTGCAGTTCAGAGCAGCTCGGGGCAGGCAGGACCCATGGCAGAGTTGTTCCCCCTCTGTGGCACGGGCCTGGCACTAAAAGGGCCGTGCCCTGGGTGTTCTCCTCAAACCCATCCTTTGCTGTAAATCAGCAAATCTCCACCCTCCCACCCCCTGGGAGCTTCAGCTTTGGAGCTGCAAGGCAAGCTGGTGTGGAACACGGAATATCCTGAGCTGGGAGCGACCCACAAGGATGATTCTGTAACAACCACCAGCCACAAATGCTCTAAAACAGCAGCCAAAAAACACCCTTTGAAAAGCATTTCTCTTCAAGGTTCTGTAGCTCTCCAGATATCAACAGGATGGATTTGGCTCACGTTCCTCACAATCCTTTCAGGATAACTCATTTTCAATTTCACCCTCTGTGCACAAATTCCTTGTGAATACGGAGGAAATCTGGGACTCAGTTTTGGATTTCCCACATGCCCAGAGCTGAAATTCCAGTTCCAGGAGGTGCAGGGCAGTGAACAGGTCCACACTGAGCTGGAAAACCTCCTGGCACAGGATGTCTGGATGCAGAACGTTCCCAAATGCTGTGGGCACCAGGGAATTGCAATTCCATGGGAAAGGAGTCCACAGATTGTTAATAAATTCACAGAATCCAGGCTGGCACAGCAAACAGTTGGGTGATGGGGGAGTGTTTGCAGAAACATCACAAACATTTCTCCATTCTCACATCCTGCCCAGGCAAAGGCAGAATTGGATAAAAAGATCCCAGACTGGTGGAATTTCGGCCTTCCAGGGTTATATTTTTTAAGCAACAAGAGAAAATACAGTGGGCTGAAGGTTAAAATGTACTAAGGCTTGGAATATAGGTTTGGAAAGCTTTGTCTGGGATCAAACTTTGCTTTCTTTTACAAATAAAAACTTTCAGCAGGGACACTGAGCAGTGAGTGCCAGGGTGCTGCCAGCGAGATCCTTTGGGGAAGGGGGAGGCAATTGTTTAAGTCCTGTCAGATGCATCATCCCCTGTGCTGTTACAAAACCAACCTAAATTCAATCTGAAGTGATTGCTAATAACTATTAACTCCTCTCCCAATTGTTCCACTTCAATCATGTTTTCTCTCGCTGTCCTTCACCTGGGTATTTTTAGCATTGTAATTTTTTTCTTTTTTTTTTTTCCTTTTTTTTTGGAGATGTGACTATGTGTTCAGTTTCTGCTTCTCTGTACATCCCTCCCAATTATCCCGGTGGGTATTTTTCTCTCAACCCCCCAGAATGGGTTTATTTCTGGTTTACTCTTCCCTGTTGGTTTCCATGTGGTTATGTGGGAGGCTGCACTTTCTTTATCAAAGCAGAGAGCCATGATTAGTCCATTCAGAAAATGTAAATGCAGCTTTATGTGTTCTGGAGCGCTGGGGAGAGGGAGAGACTGCAAGGAGCAATAAAAGCTGAGAAAACAGAGCCCAGCCCTGATCCCTGCAGGGCTGCTGAGCTCAGGGATGGGCACACTTCACATTTCAGAGGGGGATAAATAAAAAACCCACTGAGCTGCTGGGGAGAGGTAATCACGGAGTAACCTGAACGGGAGAAACCCTCTGCAGCCTCTGCCGGGAATCCTCTTGCATTTGTAGCTCCTTTCATTGATCCCAAATTTCATTTTCCACTGTGAGGTGTGCCAGGGTCTGCCAGGGTCTGACAAATCCACAAATCCACAGCCAAACACAAATATTGCATCCTGCTCCCTGCCCCAGGTTACAGTGCTGGGGATGGATCAGCAAAATCAGCACCATCGAGGGAGCTCTGTGCGAGCTGCAGCTTCAGGAGAGAAATGAACCCTTCACCAGCAGCTCAGGTTTTTCAATCAGCTCCCCTGAATGCTGCAGCTGACACACTCCAGCAGAGAACTTCCAGCTATTACCTAAAATAAGGCACCTTGCAAATGACTTGTCTAAACTCCCTCCTATTTTGATATCTCAGGCAATCTGGAGCTTCAGCAAATTAAGATTCTCTGCAACAAGCACTCTCTGACCCCCAGCCCCTTTGTATCTGTTTCTTTCAAGCTTTTACATATTTGTATGACAGCTGAGAAAAATGTGTTTATCTCTGGGATTACTGGAGTCTGGAATTAGATGTCCAACATTTGATCTGTTTCCTCTGAACACCTTTTAATTCCAGCCTTGTCTCCATCCTTGGAACCCACCTCAGAGAAGGGCCAGGGCACCTCCAGCCTCCTGCTCCTGGAGACGTCCCCACACAGATTTGGGAGGTGAATTTTAGTCACCCGGGTTTGAAAAGCCACAATTATAAAGAACTTGCTAATTTAAAAACCCTTAAAAATAGAAACACCCCCCCACATCCACATACATATTGTTGAACAGGAAGAATCACTCATGTCCCAGCACATGAATCATTCATCATCCCCATGAGGTTATGGATGCTCTAAAAATGTGTTTGTGAGTACTAAAATGGTGATTATAATAAATATTACAGGAATACTTCAGCCCACCATGTCCAGGCATGTGTAAAGCTCCTTATTTGCACTTTGGTGGCAAAACTGTAACAATTAGAGGGTTTTCTTTATTTCACTAACAAGGGAGTCAAAAAGTCACCATCAGAATTTCCATGTGAGTGGAGTCCCACATGTTGGTTCAGTTTTATTTGTAAAGCAGGTCGTGATCCACGCCTGGGGCCTGTGCTGTAAACCAGGAGGTTATTAAAGCCTGACAGTTATTTTTATAAAGCATTACCATTATTATTATTGCTGTTATTATTATTTGGAAATGGCACAGAAGGTACCAGTGAAATTCAGGCTGC